AAGTCACTATCTAAAGGACGTGTCTGCGAGATAGGGACTTGAACGTCATAAACTGGAATAAAAAACACCCCCTAACGTGGCCAAACATAGCTTTCATATTGCCTGACACGTTGGGCCATGTTAAATCCCTATCTCGAAACATGGAATCTATGCTCGGGAGGGGGGGGCACTTCCGGGGCTATGTTCGGTGGAAATATTGGTCCCTTCCATGCGGTGCGGGCGGTTACCGTCGCGAAGCGACGTGAATTACACCGGCATAGACCCCAGATAGCGGGTGTGTAAGGAAAAAACTCAGTGTGCTTGAGGGAATCAACCCAATGTCTAATAGGTTCTGTTGTCAATGAGTGGTGCCAAGGCTGCCAAGGGTACTGTTCACCCTGCCAGGGATGACATCATGTCATGCCAGGAATGACATCATGTCATGCCGATCCAGCAGCAGCAGCAGCAGCTGCAGCCACACCAGCAACAGCACCCGCATGCCCTAAGAAAACACCGATCCAGCACCAGCACCCGCGCCAGCACCTGCACCAGCACCAGCACGTCGATCCGGGGCCACACCATTGAGAAGAAAGAACCCCTATTAACTTGCAGCTCTGGGCGAAAAGCACTGGCACTGAGCGGATAGACCTTTTGTGCTCTGTTTTTCTGGTGGGCTCTCAGAATGGGGCCGGGGCGCTGAAGCTCTTGGGAGGGACGGTCGGAGAGGCGAGGAACTGGACTGAGAAGAACCAAGCAAACGATGAAAAACGTTTCGTCAAAGGGAAAGGGAAATGATGGCTGCAAGGGAATGTAAGTGGCGGCCCTGGCGCTGTAATACATGGAAAGCAGCAAGGCCGCATAATAAGGCAGCAAGAAACCAGTGGGTAAGATCGGCCGCGCTGGGTCTAGAATGAGGCTCGGCATTTGGTCTTGGAGCTGGTAGGCCGTGAGTGCAAAAACGCTCGTAGCAGAGAGCCGGCAGCAGTAAAGCACGTAGATGTGGACCTTGTTGTTGACATTGCTGCGTTCTTCCAAAGCGACAAAGTCGGTGGGCGGCAAGAGAGAATAGAAACGCCATGGACAAGCAGAGCGGCAAGCTTGATCTGATGCATCTGGTATGCGGAGGACGGCTAAGCTACATGAATCGTAAACCTGGTGCGACCGAAGGTTTTCGGGAATGAGTGTAAAGACCTATTGATTCCCTGTGCGCAACGCACAACAGAAGAAAAAGTTGCCCGGTCTTACAACCTGGGACAAGAAAGCTCGGTACAATGTGGAGTTGGGACAAGAATAGATGGCCTCCAACCTATTAGCAATGGCCTCCACCCTAATAGCAATGGCCTCTAACCTAATAGCGATGGCCTCCGTTCTTTGATGGTATGAACGGCGGAGGCACATGGTCACACCGGTGCTTGTCAGAAGCAGCTGGATCTCAAGGTCTGAGGAGATAGCAGCTGCAGAAGCCTCAAACGGGTGGTGGTGTGGCCGACGTGACTCCATGCAGTTCATCCGGATTGAGAGCCTGTTCGGCCCGCAGCAGGGTTTTCTGGTGTTGGGCGCGGTATGCTTGGCTCAATGGGGCCCTGGAAGGCGAATGGAGGCGAAGCTGCATGAAGCCATGCTTCATAAGCCGACCAGGTTGCATCAAGCAGGAGGGAACGTTTTCTTCATGGCTGGTGCCTTAAAGGGACCCCCATGTCAACATACCTCAGAATAATTTAGCCTCATGGTTTTCATCTTAGCTTTAACATGTTTTAACTATCTACTCTTGAACAAATATTCCACTTCTTTGTCAATGGTCCAGACCCCCCCCCGGAGTCCCCCAAATAGTTATTCCAGTTTAAGAATTCAAATTCCAGTAACCTGCATATCCCTTGGAATAGTTATTTAAGGAACCATGCATGTTTTTTCAAGTCTTCATCTGGTGTCGGCACCCCATGAGATGTGGAACCCTCACCCTCCACGAGGGGTTGCGTCACACTGTCGAAGGGAAAGGCAGGCTGGAGGATTTGATGCGAAAGGGCGGCAGCCAGGGTGCTGGAGACTGCTTGCGGTGCTGGACACACGGATCTCGCCAGCGGGGGACCAGTTCGAAAGCATCGACTTGTGGACTTCTTCTGCTGGCATGCCAAGCGTGAGAGCGTGGCCCGAGCACGAAGTGCAGGTGGCAGCAGCGTGGAAGATTGCACACCATCAAGTAACATCAAGTAACTATAAAAGTAAATTCTGTGAACACGAGGGCCAAAGCGACACAGGGCAGGAGCGTGGACATGTTCGCAGTCTTGCTTTGTTGAACCACCGAAGCAGGATCTGCACTTACAAGGTCCTCACGACTTGTTTTAGTGGTTGCGCCGGTCAGTTGGTGGAGTATGGCATTGAGTATGGCGGAGTCAAGTAGCATCAAATAACTGCAGGCTTTGAGCCTCGACCGGATGGCTGGCTCTCGTGCATGCAGGACCTTGCTTATGCAAAGGATTTTTCTGCTGGACTCAAATTGCCCACGCAACCGAGTTTTGCGACAACAAATCGTGTACAATCACTTCAAGAGCGGCTTCAATTGCGGCTGTGGCACATCATCCGTTGAAATCCCCAGGGATTCCATAAATGTGCCAAGCTTGTTCTGGCTTAGGGCATCTTCAAGATCGTCCAAACCTTGGATAGACCGAACATGATATCAGCCCTCTCAAGAGGCCTCAGCCCTGGAATGTAGTGAGGCAAGGACTGTATGGGAGTATCCATGACAACCGTCTTCAAACCGAAACTGCACCGGGATTTTGTGGGTGGCTGGGATCCAGTCGGGACCCCCATCGCGCTCAGCGACTCACTTCGTTGACATTGAAGGCATCCATCTCCTGGAAAACTTCCCTCAGGGAGGACATGTTCTCCAAGCGCTTCTGCATCTGCTTCAGCGTGGCCTAGCCAAGAGGATCGTTCGAGCCCGACCGACCAAAGAATGAGGAGGAAGCAGGAAGCAGTGGCGACTTAGGTGTGTTCTCGGGGTCGGGATTCCCAAACCAAAAACAACGGGGCCACCCCTGCAAAATGCAGCTGGATCTGTTGGATGGCTCGCGGTCAACCAACATCACACTGTGTACATGATGCGCATGCTTAGGCTTCCCAAACCCTGCAAGAGCACGTCGCACGGACAACTGTTTGTTAACCGGGTCCACCTTTACCCTGTCAATGCTTTTTGGAAAAAGGTGTTTCTGTCTCACATTTTCTCACCTTCCCCATGCCAAGTGACAATATCTTTGTCCGCGCTGGCACTTTCAATCGCGGTGTTCACGAACCTTAGCACTTAGATCTACACTGCTCAGCAAGCGAACATGCATGCAATGCCGAAATAGCCCCGCATCGGTTGCTCCAATGGCTGAACTGAATGGTCCATCGGAATATACTCCGGCGAAGTTTATCATGGAACGTGGCTCCAACTCTCAGTGCTCATTAACATGGCCCACCTGCTCGTTAGAAGTCCCGGGGAATATGGAAAGCACCGGTATGAGAGGAAAAGGTGATTCCGGAGACTAACGTAGAACACTACAAGGCCGGAATGAAAATTGGCGCACTAGAAATGCAGCACCCTTGAGATGCTAATAGATGCTAACATGGAATACGTCAGAAGTAGCCAAGATCCAGGGAACCCAGTATCTGGAAATGATCCATGTTAGCCTCACCGTGTTCCATGCAGCTGCCAAACTCTGTGGCCCGCTCCCAGGACTGTTTCACAAATAGGGCACCTCACACTAACATGCCACATGAACAATGATCGGCTGGCCTTTTTCCTTTCCCGGAATTCTGTATGTCTTTGTTCTCTTCGTTCTGGTGGCTGATGGTTCATACCGTGTGACAGGAAATGCAGTATGCAAACAAATTGGAACCAGATGATCTTTTTTGCAATGATCAGCCACCACGTGGACCTTAGCTTAGCTGTCAACTGAAACCTTGCCCTGAGTCCAAGGAAGAGTAACATACTGTACTGTAGTTTACTGTAGTGCTTAAGTGAACCAAAGGACAAATTGCTCCACTAGAACCTTAACCTAGAACACAACACTCAGGCGACCAGGCAGCGACACTAACATAGCATGTGCAAGATCGAACCAAAAACCTTCCACTCTGATCCATGTTAGTCTCAATGTGCAACATACACCTGGGAAATTCTCCAAGCATGTTTCCCCCAGTGTGTCCATACTAACATGGCCCGCTCTCAGGGCTGTTTCACAAATAGGGCACCTCACGCTAACATACCACACAGATTTTTGGGTTTTCTATTTTGATGATGTTAAACTTCGCGGGTGTATATGTATATACACCCTTTCTTTCAATTGTATGCGCGTATGTGCGCGGGTTGAAACACTCACGGTGACAGTTTTCTTGACTCGTGATCGACAGCCGCAAATGGCCGCCGAGGCGAAATAATCCAAGATACAGCCCCCGATTCGTTTCCCACCCTTCGTTTCCTCGCATCCCAAGGCACACGCCAGTGACCACGTTCAATATGGTAAAGAAGCCGATCACGACGTAGAGGTTGAAGAGCCACAGCGCCATCAAGGAGACTTGTCTCAGGGGCTCGTAGGCCTCGAACCAATTGATCCCGCCGGTGATGGACATGAACAACGTCATCATGCCTGGCAAGTCTCAGAAGCCAATAAGCCAAGAAGGATGAAGAGGAAACAGTCCGGCTTGGTGCATGGTGCCAAACTGCCAAACGAAGTAGCATCTTGTTCCTAGTAGCCTCTTGTTTTAGTAGCATGGCCTCCAACCTTCTTGCGATGGCCTCCACCGAATCTACTAGTAGCTTCTAAAGGCATTTCAGGAAATCCTTGCAGAGATTGCAGTTGAGGTGCTGTCCATGACATTCACCCAATAGGGCTGCAAGTTATCTTCGCAAGCAGGTATGGCATTGTTATCTGCATTCTGCTCAATGGCCATGAAGCGACAATGATCTGTTACAAGCCTTGGCTGTTCTCCAGGTTTGTCATCAGCTGCCGTACTTGCTTGAAGTCTCCAACTTCTGACACAAGGCAAAAGCATTGAACTGCTGGCGCGCCCAGCACAGAGATCCAAGTTAAGCCAAAGTCACTGGGTGAAGATACAACCAAAGGTATAAAAAAGGATCAGCAGCAAGAGCAATGTCCACAGCAAAGATCCCATAGTACTGAAGATGGAGAGGATGAGGCCCCTCAATGCCTCCAGCTACTTGCCCCAAAATCACCGCAAAAACAAAGAAAAACCGTCTGTTTGGGGCCAGCTGTGGCAATCCCATCTAGACTTGCCTCCCAGTCCATCCATGGCCCAAATCGTTACATGATTTACATGCACCCTCTGAAGGCGGAAGCAGCCATTCTCTTCATGTGTCAGCTCTGGATGGGAGTCGACAACGATCGGAGAACATGCCAGAACCAGGTAGCGATGTTTCCTAGTAGCTTCTTGTTCCTAGTAGCAAGGCCCTTGTTCCTAGTAGCGATGCCAGGAGCCCCTAGTAGCTTCTTTGCTCCTAGAACCTGACTTTTGAAGTGAGTTTTCAGGGAGGTTGTCGGTGGCCGGTACCATGCCCAGTGTCTGGCTTGCAGTCCCTCGATGTTGCTCTTTTTGTTGAAGTGCTGTTGAGGCACGCTGAAGTAGCGGAAGAGGCGGATGATGCGAAAGCCGCGAAGGGTCCTCACCAAGCGCAAGGCGCGCATCACTCGGAAGCTATTGGATCCATCGGCCGAGCTGGAGATGGACTGTGCCCACCAGTCCACCATGGTTTCCACCACAGACAGGGTGACGATGGTGAAGTCGAAAACGTTCCTGGGTGCAGTTCTCAGCCCGCAGCGGCAGCGAGTACCAGTCGGACAAATTTAGATTTGGCATGTGCGTTTTTGGCACAGGATCAGTGACAAGTCAAAAGCGCAAAAGTAAAAGTGGTTGAAAAGAAGTGCAGCCAAGTAGTCCATACACTCTCCTCACCTCTCCAGAATTCTTGACAGCCAAGACCAATGAGTTTCAAAGCTGTTTCCTGGTCGGCAAACATCGCAAAGCGAACAACATCATGTCATGCGCCATCTACCCCGAAAACTGAACATTTTACTTTCGGGGAATGGATGTTCAATTTGGAGTCTTCGTGTGGCAGCAACAAAGCAAACCTAGCAAAAGGGCCGCGCCAGGTGTCGCTCACAAAAACAAAGACCAGGCAAGAATTGAGTGTGCCAAACCAGGTGGGAATATCATCCTGACCAACCTTGGCTGATACATCAATCTCGACCCCAAGCAGGACCGCATTGGTGACAATCAAGAACATGATGAAGTTGGTGAAGAAAGGCGAAATCACCTGAGTGTTCAGAGCTAAAGTCTCAGTGCATACACTTTGCCACTTGCAACTGCATTCAAGTTTCTTGAGTGTGGTTTGCCGCATTGTACTTTAAGAGGGATTATCAAAAGAATGCTGAGATGCAAGGTAAAGCCAACAGGAAGAAGTGAGTCATCTCAAACAAACAGCAAAACACAGCAACATGGGCAGAATTTAGAATCCCCAAAGACACTTCAAAGCAAAGGCGTCCGAGGAGAGAGGGAGAGAGTGAACAAAAAAGAACATGTGTCGCTGTCCGCTGTCCAATCTATCTGCTGGGTTGACCGTTCCACCAGGACACCAAGGCTTGAATGCGCCCCCGCCAATCCACCCGGTCAGCAGCTGAATGCGCCCGCCCCTCACGAGCAAAGGTGATCCTGGAAGCAGCTGCCCGTGCACGGCCCTGCTTGTCCTCCATGCCAGCACGGACGAAGGACTTTCGGACGCTGTCACGTCGCCCCGGCGGCGAGGAACCTCAGGAGCCAGGCCATGGCAACGGAGTGTCAGTTGTCTGATGGCCCTCCTTGTGCTGTTGAACGGCGGAACTTGTGACATCCACTGTGCACCTCATAGACTCCTTCTATCCCAATTATATATATATATATATTATATATATATACATCCTGCCATGTTCACTTTCTTGCCAGCTTTCTTAGCCCCAAACAACTCTCAATCTCGACCGGTGGCTAATGGTGGACCGAAACGAATTCGCCGTGGTCAACTGTGGCACTGGAAGCTGAAGCGCGGCATTTCCTTGGGAAACCTCGGCGAGCGGGAACTGCGGCCGAGGCCGGATGCTTGGGAACGGCGTGTGGCTTTGCCACCCCAAAGCCACGCACCAAAACACGTCAAAACATGCTTTGCCAAACGGGACCCGTGGTTTTTTTGTTTGACTCACTTGATCGCGGCAGTGGCAGTTTTTTCACTGAAAAACCGTTTCTATGTCGTTGTCCGCTGAGCATCGCGAGGTTCAGGCAGCGCCATTTCAGTGCCAGCCATTTTGAGCATGCTCTCTTTGGTACGCTGTCGAAGAATTGTGTTCGACTTCCTTACTGCCGAGCAGTTTGGGTGTCACACACAAGCCGGGACCGAAGGAAGAAGACCACCAGGTTGGTGAGATCGAAAACCGCCCAAAGCAGCCCCAAAACACAAACTGGAACCACTTACAATGCCAAAATGTTCGCGAAGTAGTGCTCGACCCCAAAATGTTTTGATATACCCACGTTCTGCATCAAAACCTTGGGTAACCAAGTCTTGATTTTCAGCATGGCCACAGAAAGCAGGGGAAGCAATGGCTTTGCCGCAGCTGCGTTACACACACCTGTTTATCTATATACTTTTGTTTTGAAATCATGTCTCACATATGGAATGTCTGTGTGTGCGTCGTATAGGGTGACTGGTAAAAAGGACCTGAGATGAATCGGAAAATTCATGTATGCGAATCTTCTTTTGATCCAGAAAAGGGCTGCATCAGCTCTCTATGATGCCACTTACGCGTAACAAGCCACATGTGTTTTACAATGAAAATGTTTCACACTCCTTCTTGGTAGTGTGAGCGATCGAATTGGTACTTTGAGTTCGCTCTGCCACTGTAGTCCGTTTTCTTCCACGCAACTCTTTTTCTCTGCTGCCTGAAGTGCCTGCTGCCCTCAAAGTTGCCATAGAAGAATCCTTAGTCAACTCTATTCCATCCACCAAGACTTTGTCTACATCCACTGGGCTCAACTGTCAATTGCAGTTCACATTCAAGGTCTTCATCTTTCTTTTCTTCTTTCTGACCTTCTACCTCCTTCTCCGGCGGAGTAGGGGTACTCTCTTCGATTGCCAGCTCCACTTCTGTCTTTCTCTGCTCTCTGCTTTCAATCTTCTTGTATCCTGGTGCAATGAATCCCATATCTTCTGGTGGCGCTGGCTCATAGCTGAAGGTTGAGATTGAAGGATTGCACTATCATCAAAGAATTGCTCATCAAGTTCATCCTTTTTTCATCATGCTTTCACAATATTCAGGCATTGGCCATCGACCTCCTCTTTTCACCAGTGGTTCCCATCAACTCTGGTGATTCTTCCACTTCTGGAATGAATGTGGGGTCCACAAATCTTGAAGCCACTAGCCTCCAACTAGCAGTCCATGCTCATTGAATCTCCAGCCTGGTTCCTTTTCCAAAGCTTCGGGCACTTGCACCTCCAAGCATCTTCATCTCGATTTTGCAAGTTGAGTGGTACCTTCAAGTCACCATTCTCCAACATTTGCTCTGCTGTTGGTTCCCCGGCCATATTCCATCAGTCTTCCATAGCAAGTACGGGCTCTTTCACCTTTGGACGGCATTCTCTTTGAGAAGAATTTCACGTCCATCAAGGTCATGTAAGGAAATTTCAACACTTTTCGCACCCCCAGTGGGGGTACGGCTTCGCTGCGCATATTGTAGCTTGGTCTTCGTGCTGAATTCCAATCTCCTTCCCCATGATTTGCCATGCTCAAAGGGAATAGTGGCTTCATAATAGTTTGTATATAGTACAGACTCATCCGTGTATGTGTCGAGGGCTGCATGCATGAGACCCCATGTCACCGGTGGCCATGACAATCTGGTTAGGCACAAAGGTGTGCAAACCCGGGCACGCTCGAAAGATGCACTGCTAAAGGCCCACATAGGCCCGCCATGAGGAGTGCAAAAGGGTCATTAGGATGAAAAATTGTAACCAAAAAAAAAAACCGTTGCGTTTTCAATAACATAGATAGTTCCCACGTGTCTTCCATGTGACGTGTCCACCAAGCTTCGTGGTGAGGAGCTCTTCGAAAAACCTGGCCTGGCGTTCGAAATGGACATCCATATGCATCTTCAAGATCCCGAACTCACCCGTAAGTTCAACGGGCTCATCGTCTGACTCAAATTTGCTTTCGGATGATCTCTCGCCATCACCTGCACCATCTGCCATCGAACCCTTTTCGGAGACCTCCATGGAACCGAGTTGGGCTCCGTCGCGCTCCTAGTAGCTGCTTGTTCCTTGAGGCTCACGGTCCTGAACACCCAAAGATTCCAATCTCCCGCAATCACGTCCATCAGGGCACTACATTTTGAAGTTGCTATTTAAAGTCGACCAAGCTACACGTACTCAAGGTCTAGCAGTCTAGCAGTCTAGCACGAGCGATAAGGGTCTGATCTCCATTGATTCTCAACAAGTCTTACATTCTCACCCTTTTGCTGCAACCACGAACAGTGAGGCATCAGCAATGGCAGCTTCGCACCCTTTGCTCTCCGCGAGTTCCTATCCAAAAATGATCACTGCTCCTCGCAGTTCAGAAGATGCCCAGCAACACACCAGCAAAATCATGCCTGACATTTTGTCAAGGCATCTCCTCATTACCCAGCTCACAGTTTTGATGCTGCTTAGTTGAGGCAGCAGCGTGTTTTTCGATTCTCCAGCGTCGACTTGGCCGACACGAGGCAAAATGGCCAAGAGCACCCCAAACCTCTCATTTAGAAGGGTTCAGAACCTTCCGTTGTGAGCGGATCTAAACTTCGTTGACATCCGTTGACACAGGGTGGGGCGAAGTCTTCGACTGGAAATGGTGCTCGTCCAACCAAGTTCAACAATCAAATCAAAGGTCACGGGGCGACATTGCAAGCCAAGAAACCTGCGGAGTTCCGCAGCAAAAAAAAGAAATCGAGCTCCTCTGGGCTCATCTTGAAAAAAATGTAGCACTTTTAAGGCTACAGATGCTCACAATGCGGTTTGGACCACCCGTCGTGAAGGACGTGTCACGGACGCGTCTAGCCTCAGCAGCTGCTGGATCTCACCCAATCGTTCGGAGATCGTCTTGATCGCTTGACCTGACGCGGGAACCCTAAGGCAGAACTGGGCCGAGCCAGCTGGGACACTCATAAATTTTATTGGGGTTGCTGGGGCAGGTGTGGCTCAATGAACTGCAGCTCGGGCGCGAGTCAACTTGTTTTCATAGCCTCACGTGGCTCACCGCGGAAAAGAGGAGAAAACAAATCCACAGGCATGCATAGGAGGATAGGCAGCAAATCTGCACTGCAACAATCATACTCCACGATCGACTATGCATTTCAAGAAATCTTGGCAAGATGAAACTGATAAACTGGCAATTAGGTGCTACTAACAGGTGCATCGCTAGTAGTAACAAGTGCCTCGCTAGTAGTAACAATAAGAATTTAATTGTAATTACTAGCAAAGGAATCTACTAGGTGCAACCTGATTCGACAGGCGCCGCCTGCTCGAAAGGCCGCGATATCATTAGCTATGGGAATCGGCTTTCCAGTGTCCATTTACGCCTGGTGTGCGGACTCGGCATCTCGCCTGAATTGGTCTTAGATCGATTAATTATGGATATCAAACTCGCCAAATCTCAACAAAACTCGATGGAACTCGCCATCTGGTGCAGCTCATCTGACCTGTGACCCGTTCGGCTCCAAGCTGCTCATCTTGGCCACTTGAAGGCTCTTCGCTGGGCCCCGCAGTTGCATGCATCCATTGACAAACTCATCGATATCTACTACCCCGTTGTGGTCTGCATCGATCAACAAGAAGAGTCCCCAAATGTCCTCGGTGTCAATGCCTCAGCCGAAGGATGCACATGGTGTTAAAAACAAAATTTGTTCATCACATTGGAGCACAAGAAAAATTACAGATGCAAAGATATTGGAGTGCTCAGTTGACCCTCAAGATCTGGATACTGTGTCATCCCCCGGCCACAACATGGGTGTCCTTCACGGCTACCCCACTAAACAGCACAAGTTGAAACTTAGCAGATTCATTGACATGAGATTGTCTTGAAAGAAGACATGACCGCAAAATGTTGCGTCAACATGTGGAACGAGTTATACTTACAGTATACGTACGCATCTGATGTTTCTTCACGAAAACCGTCCAAAGCCTGGTTCATCTAGCTGAGAGTAAACCCAAACCTGCTGCATGGCTGCTAGCTGAGCTAGCTGGTCTGTCCCTTTCCAGCACGGATACGACGGATACGAAAGGAACCCTCACTGACCATGTCACATTGCCGTTTACGCAAAACCAGGCCATGAACGATGCGAAGAAATGGGAAGGAGGCTTCACAGAAGAATGTTGCGACAACAAACAAGGCATCCGAGCATGAAATGGCTGGATAAAAACTGTGCCATGAACCCTGACATGGTACCCCAACATACGATGCACGGGGAAACCCTCGCATGTGCCCGTGCTGGAGCATAAATTGCTGGATTGGAAGGGGCTGAGTCTGTACCCGGTGTGAAGACCTAACGGAAGAGTGCCCTGCACATATTTCGACGGGAGAGGAATCACAAGTTGATCACCCTTCTGTATGGACCCTCAGTCTCCCAAACAATTGAATTCCGCGGAGTTCCGTTGGCTCACTCCAGGTCGCCTAAAGACTCCATGAAGGGTCCAAGCTTGTTTTCCGATAAAGCCTCCTGCGGCGCTGGGGCCATGGGCACCATCCCAAGAAGAAAACGTCTTAATCATGGGGGAAAAAACAACTCACTCAAGTGATGGCCCTCGGCATACCTCGGCCTTTTTTTGGTTTGGAGCTTTTGGTTTTTGCCGCTGCCTCTTCATCGCAGCCCAACAAAAAGCTCACCGGTCGTCCTTTCAATATGGCCGTAGCGTCTTGTGAAAGATCAAGCTCACGGAGCTGTCCCAAAAAGGCTACACTCTGGCCCCAAACAGGCTGACTATATATTTTCCACTTCCATTATCGTTTAAGGGAGTACATGAGCCAGTCAATTTCTGTCCCCTCGAAGAGATGGTCGAAGCTAGTAGCTTATTTTTTCCCTAAAAATCGAGGAACCAAATAAATAGGGCGAGCGCTTCTTCAAGGAAGCTTCCCCCGCCGCCTTCAGGGTGGCGGGGGGAGCTTCCTGGAAGAAGCGTGAGCTATCCTGTGTCCACACTAGTAACTACTAACTAGTAACTAGTAGCTTAAGTCAGGTACCAGCTAGGTAGCTACTAGCTACCTACCTCTAGCTACTGCCTGCCTCTACCGTACCCCCCCGGTTTTGAAGCTGTGTTGAAGCTGTGTTGAAGATAACTTGAAGCTGTGTTGAAAGTCTCGTCTTCTCAGCTTTGGCTGAGTGTTTCACATTTGCAAAACTGCTTCATGACGCAAAGAAAGTTGGCACATCATGACGCAGGTCACCCACGACTGAACCTCCAGCTCGTCGATGCTAATTTCGTTCGTCTCTGCCTGATCCATCTCATGGAAGACCTGGAACAAGGACTTGGAGTGATTGGAGATGAACCTGCAATGACGATTTCTTGGCTTTTGCACCAAAACCATAGTAAGCTGACTCTGCATAACAGGCTCCGTGTAGCATCTGATCTTATTGCTACATCTCCGCATGTGAAACTCCTTGATTCCTTAATTAATCCTAAGCAAACCCAAAGAGCTCTTTGAGGTGTCCCTACAGGTCCCTCGTTGGGGCGACCAGCGGACCAGTCCGAACACAGATCCCGCGGGCCCCTTGCCTCTCGTAGAGAAGCTATGTTCTCCAGGCGTTTATGCATCTGCTTGAGGGTGGCGATATCTTTGTCCGCACTGGCACTCTCAATGGCAGTGTTCACAAACCTGCCGGGGAGCGCCACAAGGGGCGAAAAAAGGGCAACCGTGTCGGTTTTGGCGCAGCAGGCAGAAGGCTTTCCAGAACTGATCGACCCGGCGCTTGCAACCGAACCAACTTCCAGGACAAACCTGCCATGGTTAAAAGACCAGGGCGACAACCACAGCGTGCTTCTACGAGCAAGACTGTCCACCACCCATCAAAAGCCGCTGTGCACAGGCATGCCAGAAACAAGCTGACCCCAGGTCGCTCAAGTATTACAAACGTGTCAAGTCATGTGCCACTGGGAAAGTAGGCAGCCAAGCAACACACCCGTTACAACGTTGAGTATGGTGAAAAACCCGATGACAATGTACAAGTTCATAAGCCACTGTGCCACCCATGAGACTTCCCGCAAGGGGTCATATGCATCCTCCCAGTTGATCCCACCAGTGATGGACATGAAGAGTGTCACCATGCCTGACGGCCAAATGGCTGCAGCTGTTTGATGCTGCATGCACAAACGGTTCGACAACAAGTTCAGTGTAACCTGAGAAGCTGCAAAACCAAAGCCGGCGTTTTAAAATCAAGTGTGCTTTCTCAGGCCACCCCCCCGAATCCCCCTTCGTACTCGGCTGGCACAGGTATAGGTACCCAGGGTAACTACGATTCAGTTACCAGGTATAGTACTTCAAGTTCCCTTTCCGTCAACCGCTCGATAACCTTTACACACGCACAGCAAACCACAGCTTTGAAGTCTCATTCTTGCATTGAACTTATATAGGTGTGTAAGAGGTATAGCAACATAGCATTTATACGGACCCAGGGTAGCTACAATTCTGTTGCCAGGTATCCCACTTCAATTTCCCTACCCTGGGTCCGCGCGCGCGCGCGCCTTGCTGGCTCCCGGCTGCCTGTGATTTAGGCGCGCGCGCGCGGACCCAGGGCAGCTACAAGGCAGTTGCCAGGTATACCCAGGGTAGCTACAATTCAGTTGCCAAGTATAGCACTGCAACCAACCGAAGACAATTGCATTTTTCAAAATGCACCTCCAAAAACCTTGCTTCCGTGCACCCCTACACACCACCTACTTTCGAGTGTGCTTTCTCAGGCCCCCCCCCCTGAACCCCTTTTCTTACTCAGCTGGCGCCTTGCCAGGTATAGATACCCAGGGTAGCTACAATTCAGTTGCCAGGTATAGTACTTCCAGTTCCCTTTCCGTCAACCGCTCGATAACCTCTACACATGCAGAGCAAACCACAGCTTTGAAGTCTCATTCGTGCTTTGAACTTATATAGGTGTGTAAGAGGTATAGGGTGAGGTATAGCAACATAGCATTTTTACGGACCCAGGGTAGCTACAATTCTGTTCCCAGGTATCGCGCGCATGAGGCTTCAAAGCTGCGGATTGCTGTGCGTGTGTAAAGGTTATCGAGCGGTTGATGGAAAGGGAACTTGAAGTACTATACCTGGTAACTGCACTATAGCTCCTGGGTATCTTTACCTGGCAAGGTGCCAACTACACCTTACCATTCAGATGATGCAAGTGATGCAAATTGCATTTCTTGCATCACCACCCCTCAAAAATCACCTAACACAACCTCAAAAAACCTTCCATCCGTGCACCCTCCTCCCCCAGCATGTGCCGAGTTTACGTGTACCTTTTGCGGGCCACCCCCCCCCAGACCCCCTAACTACTCACTTCGTTCGCCAAGCACAACTCAGCTGGCGCCTTCTACGAAGGCTGGCTTTCGTAACCAAGAAGGACAAGGAACCCATGAAACTCTAAAAAGCCTAAGAGCAACGATTTGAAAGTGCCCAGGCACCGTCCATGACATTGGAGAAATAATGCAACTCCTCTGGGCATTCGGGTATGGCATTGTGGTTGGTCGTGTTGGATGTTGTATTGGCAATGGTTGTGTAGCGGCAGTGGTCTGTCACCAACCTTAGGCGCAGTGGCTCAGCACATTGTCTGTCAGCCCAGATCCCGCAGAAAACTCCCACTGCAAGCAAGATGCTGTGTAAACATACAGCTGAAGGTGTAGAACAAAATCAGCAGCAGTAACAAAGTCCACAGCAAAGACCCCATGGTGCTGAAGATGGAGAGGATCAAACCCCTCAAAGCCTCAAAGCCACAGCTTGGTGTACGAGAAGAATCTCCATGTGCAACGAGAGGCCCCCTTCTCCACTCTCAACTCACCTCACCTCACCTCACCTCACCTCACCCCTCTCTTTTTTCTCTCTCTGTCTCTCTCTCTCTCTCTATATATATATATCTATCTATCTATCACTCTATCTGCGGCCATCGCCCTCTTGCTGCCGCAAAAGTAACCCCCTTGAGAAATTGCACAACCCCCCCAGTCCCATCCCATCCCACCATCCAAAATCATATCATATCATATCAATCTTTGGCCGTCTGAGGCACGCTGAAATAGCGGAAAAGCCGAATGATGCGAACCCCACGGAGGGTGCGCGCCAGGCGCAAGGTCTTGACCACGCGGAAGGAATTGCTGCCATCTGCAGAGGTTGCCATCGTCTGCACCCACCAGTCCAGGGCTGTCTCCACCACCGAGAACGAGACAATGAAGAAGTCAAAAATATTCCTCAAAAACGATGGTGATCGATTGTGACCGAGGTGATGTCGGTGACTATTGGTGTTGGTGGTGCACAGCAGTCACCCCATCAATGACAAGGGTCAGTAGTGGTGTCTCTTGGTAGCATTTGGTTGCAGTACTGACCTTTCTCATGGCAATGCCCGTGCTTATGCCAATAAGAGTAGGAGTTGGAGAACGAGCAGGAGTAGAGGCAGTTATAGACTTATAGACTAACATGGTGGCTGTTTGCAGTTGTATTAGTCAGTAGTCGGTCGTGGCAGCAGTGGAAATAGAAATGGTAGTGGCAGTAGGGATAGTACTGACACAAGTAGTCAGTCATTGTTGTCAGCCTGAGTTACCAGTCCTCGTCGTCGCAGTTGGTTGATTCCAAAAACGAGCAACAAAAAGACTGGCAGCAGCAGCACCTCTTGTTGTTGTTTGTTTTTGTTTTGTTGTTGTTGCTGCTGCTGCTGCTGCTGGTGGTGGTGGTGGTGGTGATGGTGGTGTTGCCGCCGTCATTGAACTGTAGTAACTACAAGTAGGACTAAACCCGTTGAGAAGGAGGCCTCTTTGCTAGCAAGGCGCTACGGTGTATGCTTGGACAAATGCACAAAAACTGGAGAGCCCATCGTATGTCTGATCGTGTACGAAGATTCGGGGGTGTAATTTCACCGTCCTAAATTGAATCTATTTGTATATTGTTTCTACTAGCTTCTTGTCCCTAGTAGTAAGGCCCTTGCTCCTAGTAGCGATGCCCTTTGCTCCTAGTAACGTCCCATCACCTGAAGAACATCAAAAAAACTGCTGGCTTTTCCAGGCTTCCAGACCGCCTCTTCGCCCTTCCAGAATCTACCACAGCCAAGGCCATAGATCTTCAGCAACGTCTCACCCAGGAACACGGCCACAATACACGCCTAAGCCACCAAGAAACTCAAGAGGAAACATGGGCGAATGGTCATGAGAGCTGGCTGCGTGAATCTGCGCGACGTGGATGAGAGGGGTTGCTTGGAGAGTTCGACCAAGCTGCATTCACCACAGCAAACCAGCCAGGGATATCCTCTTGACCCAACCTGGAGGATACATCAATCTCCACTCCCAAAAGGATGGAATTGAAGAGAATCACTGCCATAATGATGTTGACGAAAACGGTCGATGTCACCTTAGTCATCCAGCATCAAAAGAAGCTCAAGACTCCTCATCCTTCGGCGTTCCTCCAGTTGGGAGAAACGCCTAAAAAAAAACAGGGTCTAACGAAAGGTCGGTCGATACAACAAACGCTCAAAGGAGGAACATTAAAATAACAAAAAGCTTTGATATTAAATACTCTAGATAAAAGCTAAGAAATAGGAAGGCACATCAATCCTTTGAAATGGCGTCAGGTCTCATGATGTCTCATGCAAAGCTTTTCAGCTCGGTCACCACTCTTTCAGCGAAGTCTCTCAAGCTGGTTTTCTCCAACTCCACCTCCACAGAAAGAAAAAGAAACAGGTGTCTTCAGCTTCGCCAGCTGAAAAAACCGGGCTCCCTTCGCTCGAGGTCAACCGCAAAAACCAACCCGAAAAAGGAGTTCCGCCGGAACATGTCGTGTCCTTGGACCTTGGAAGTCCCATCCCGTCCAAATCGACACATCCTGCCTGCTTGGTGACTCTCAGGGTGTTGGCCCTCGCATGCGCGATCCGCGTGGCTTGGGCTTGCGCTTTCAAATGCCGGTCGAGCTGCGCGTGCCGCACAAAAGAGGTCCGGGAGCTATCCCTCAAACCGCCTCAGTGCAGGTCGCATGCGTAGAGAAGCACTGTCACAAAGTCTTTTCATAATGGGATTCGGGACGTTGGCAGAAGCGAGCATGGAACCGGAAAGATGCTCCAAATCCCCAGTTACGGTGTAGCAGTTGGTTCGGGAGGTCTTCACCTAGACCGAGGTGCGAGTACTCTTGACCCACCCCTAGCGTGTCCACAACCATGAGAAAGGGTCGCTTAAAACCTGAACAGAGAACTTCATCCAGTTCACTGCAGTGCTTCACCCCCACTGTCGCAAGACTTCTGCTTTGTGAAAGCCTATTCCTGCTTTGTGCGTGGCCATGTGTGAAGGGTCAGTGAGCGCAATTCTTTGGCGGATGAGTGTGCTGCCTGACCCTCCTACCATCCCTTACGCATCCCCTACCCCCTTACCCTACTGGACGAATACGAATAGAGCGGCCAAAAGACTTGAAGATCGCATCAATTCGCCCTGCTTCATGTGCAGCTGCTCCTCTAAATCCCGAGTGTGGGTCTGGGGCAACGGCAGCTGCATGTGGCTTTCAGCACCTTCGCTGTCCACCTGACCACTGGAAAAGGTGCTGACTTGCTCTCGCAGCTTGAACGCGAACGGCTTTGCTGAGGTGGGGCTCAGGAGAGAGGGGGAAGTGATTGAAGTACTGCGCCCTTGAGCTAGCAGCAAGCCGATCAAAGCTGACTGCTTCTCAAATTGCATGTCCAAGTACCTGACAAGCGCGCGCAGGCGCAAGAAGGATAAGAGAAGAGCTCCTCTGAGGTATATGGTATATGGGCATGCTTGAGCTAACCCAAAGCAAAAGAAAGGCTGAAAGGCTGATGGATGCTGATGGAGAATCATGATGGAAAATGAATGGAGTCTCAAGACCACCCCGAACATCTCAAGGTCCACAGTCAGAAAGGAAAGCTGAAACCTTCAATCACCCAATCGCCGTCAAAATCCCATTCGTCTGCTCAACAAATCCTTTATCAGGCGATCTTGTGGTCGCATCGGCCATGCGGAAGTCTGTAAGCCGACATCTGTATGTCATGCAGAGCTGTAAGATCTGTGCTGGGCCACATGACAAATCATATCTCGTCATGGGGCAGCTTGAAGGTGACAGAGAGAGACCATGACCGGAATCTGTGGGTAGATTTGGATTCCCAATGTCCGCAAACAAAAAAACAAAACAGCTAACTAACCATGTGCTCCACAAACCACAAGTTGAAGCAACCTCGGCCCTCTCTCAGCCCGGGCCTCGTGCGGACAAGTTGCAGCTTCAAGGTCCCCAGTTCTCCGCTCAGATCGATCCTCTCCAGCTGCAGCCCTTCGTCACCAAGCATGCCGGACATGCGCGGACACAGGAGCTCTCTGCGCAGCGTTGACTGTCATACAGAACCGTGGAACGAAAAGCCAATTCAATGGGCTACTGGGATCTACTGGACTAAAGTTGACTACTGTACAGTATATAAAGAAGCTTGCGGCTGATGCTGTTTCAGGCTGAGCTGGTGTTTGTCGTTGGCAAGAATTGAAAAGCCCCAAGAATTGAATCTGTGCAAAGGGGACCCCCTGTCTTTTTCACGTATGGCTGAACTGCCATTCGACACTTGGTTTGGCTAAAGAAATGGGTGCGCACAGAATCAAATTCCCTTTGCGCCCCACTTGGGGTTCAGGTAGGCGCGCACAAAAAGCCAACAACAAAACCATACTTTAACTTAAAATTATCCAGAACACCTTTCTTCCTTTTCTTGTTCTTTGTTTCTATTAGCACTGGCCTCCAGCCTACTAGCGGCTAGCGCTGGGCTCCAACCTAATCGGAATAGCCTTGAGCCTTGAGCATCGTCAAAAAGTGAATGCACACGCAAGCACCCGTGACATCCCGTCACAAACCCATCTGAGGACTGTGCCGGAGCTCGGATCTGCGCCTCTCACCTCGCGCTGCTCGAATGGGTTTGCGTCAGACCAAGCTCCGGATTCTCAACGGACCTGGTGTTTACCGAGACGGGTCACCGGTAGATCCACTGCAATGCCAGCATGTCTCAGTCGAAGTGCCAAAATCTGGCAAAGGACAACTTTTGAAGTCTTGGCATGCTTGATGCTTGCTAAGTTTGCGCTGCAACGCCCAGCTGTTCTTCAGAGTTCTCTTGCCACTGCCTCAGAGTTCTCTTGCCTTTGAAACTGATTGATTTTTTTGGAACTTAGGTGGGGGGCTGCCATTTTTCCCCACCAAACGACACACCTCCAGACCATGAAACCAGGGCCGAGCTGCCACTCCATCCGGTTGCCACACAACTCCACTGTGCTTCCCCTCCCTCCAGTGGCCCTCAACACCGGTAGGTCTCTTTTTGGAAAGACATCCTGCCTGATGTAGCTTTTCTGAATGTCCAACGTCCACTTCAGTTTTTCAAAAGCTGAAGCAGCTTTTAAAGCTGGAGAGGCAAACTAGGCAAACCACCTGGCCTTCCAAGTCACAGGAAGGAGCAGTATGGAGAATCCCCGGAAAAGGACCAGCAAGATCATGCCCCTTCCCCAAACAGGGAATGGAGGGAGAGAACATCTGCACATCTGGAATGTCTCTTGTGAATCGGTGCGCTGGTGTTTCCCAAGCATCGGCGAATGGTCCGCCGTTCAAAGGCTGCATTGGTGCCTGAATGTTCACAGCACGCAGCCCGTCCTTCAGTGAAAGCGTGCACTTTGGCTCACACTTCGACCAGAAACCGCTGTCTCAACACATCTCAAAACTTGAGATGGTGTGGCTCAGAATGGGAAACAGAATTGCCCGGGGTCTTCCGGGTCCGCCCCCATTTTGTGCGACAATTCCCGCTGATTATGCCACATGAAAAGCAGAGTATCATGGCGATCTTTTATATAGTGGATACCGGCTACCGCTAGTACACCATACTAAAAAACAACCTCTGGCGTGCTTGGTCTCACCATCACAAATTCGTTTGGACCACGGCACGGGCCGCTCGGTCACCGGCACGCTCCGGCTTTTGCCGAAGAGCGAAGTCAATCCTCTGGAGGCGCTCGGAGATGCTTTGGATGGCCTGTCCTTGGTGCATCATGTCACCGCCAAAAACTCTGGGACCTTCCGATTTCGGCCATGGCCCTGCTTATGGGTTAAAAAGAGTTGGAAAAGAATGTATATAAGAAGAGATCAAAAGTCCTTGGCCTACTGGGTTCAATGCCCACCCAAAAAGGGGCGGCCATGGTCATAAATGAAGTGCAGTCGGGGTGCGGGTCAGCTTGTTTTCATAACCTCATGAAACCAAAAAGCAACAAAACAATCCTCTTCTGTGACTTTAGCTCGACATACGGTGGCCAAGAGGGCCAAGAATGTAAAGAACCAAGAGGCATAAAAACTGATGAAATTTGGTTCCATTTCCTGCATGGTGGTTCCACTTCCCACTGGATATGACTAGCGTAGTTGATGTTCTTTGGTTGGGTTCAGCTGTGAAATAAAGGGTCCAACAAATATGAACAAACAATAAACATTTATACAGTAAGTACGCCGCCGATTCCACCATTGGTCCAGATCGACTGTGGAGGGTGATGGTTGTGGTGATGGTGGTGGTGGTGATGATGGTGATGATGATGGTGATGGTGGTGATGGTGATGGTGGTGGTCGTGATTTTGGTGGTGGTGAAGGTGGTGAAGGTGGTGATGGTGGTGGTGCTGCTGCTGGTGATGGTGGTGGTGATGGTGGTGGTGATGGTGATGATGGCGATGATGGTGGTCATGGCGGTGATGGCGATCATGGTGGTCATGGTGGCGATGGTGATGGCTATGGTGATGATGGTGGTGGCGGTGACGGTGATGGCGATGGTGGTGATGGGGGCGGTGATGGGGGCGGTGATGGCGGCAAAGGTGGTGGCGGTGGAGGCGGCAAAAAGCACAGACATGAGAGCGCACATGATATAATTGCACAGGAGCACATGTGAGAGCACAGTTCGAGTTCGACCCTGCATGCCCGTAGGCAGCGCACTTTAGGGCGCAGAACAAAGTGAAAAACAGCAAACAACAAAAGATCTACGGGTCTGGCCGAGAATCTCGAGAGGAACAAAATTTGATAATTTCATCCATGTGAGACATCCACGAGTTTGTGTTTTGAGCGGCTGCAGTCCACGTCCCCAGTTGCTTGTATCTGCAGAAGGATTCAAGAACGGATGTCCAAGTATACGGAAGTCTTCCAGATGAGCGCCGACCAACTGGGCACCATTGTGAGATTCGTTGCACCCAACGATCAGAAGGAAGATTCGCAATGCAACCTGCCAGTTTCCAATGTTGTCGTAAGCACCGCTGCGACCAGGATAACATGCCACGGCGTTCTATGCACAGCATTTGACCACATTTGCTGCGGCTTCCCCGAAGGCTGCACTTCAAGGTTTGAAAAGCGCTGCACGAGATCTGCACTTTAAGGATCACAAAGCGCTGCGGCTGAAATTTCAAGGTCCACAAAGTATATGAGAGCACATTGTAAGAGCACGCATGAGAGCGCGCATACGAGAGCACATTTGCCGCACCTCCCACGAAATCTACACTTCAACTAGGTTGGAGAACTCTGAGGGCGGAGGACTTTCATGACATGAGAAAACCCTGTTAAAAGGTTGGAAAAAAAGATGTCGGCGCGTCTCGAAAAATGCTCGAAATATCTGAACATGCTTTTATATGCAAGCAGGACAGTGCCATCCCACGAACTGATGGATGTCTGAGTACTAAGGCAAGCCAGAAAGCGATTGGCGGGTTCTCCAGCACATGTCCAGTCAGTCCGAAAAGGGTCGGTCGCGTCTTCGCACTGCTCCTGCGGAAAGCGCCGGCGAAGCGTTTGCAAAGTGCTCAGAAACGTTGGAGACCGACTCAGCCCGCCGAAACAATTGCCGGACGCATTGACACGTCTGCTTTTGGCGCGGTGGTCGACAGTGTGAGCGGCAGTAGTTAATTTTATGCCTATGCGTAAAAGAACACCTTCCAGCGTTTTCATGATTGATGATACCATGGAGGATCCCAACGCGGTCGTCCAAGAACACAACTTGGTGAGTGGAAGGGTCCTGGCTTTGGATCCACTCAGCAAGTTCATAACACGAGGGCTCAGCCCATCACCCTGGGTATAGAAGTGGTCACACTCCGAACCTGAGGGAAGACATCGCGACGCCATCGTAACCACCTTTTCTGCTTGCCCACAAACGCAACACAGCCCTGGAGAGCACTTGGGGAAATCCGTACCAATCCAACGTGACTTTTGCGCGACACGGAGTGATGTGGTCGAAAGCTTGGTCAAGTCCAAGGTTCCAATCCATTGGCCCTGAGCGTAACTTTCACCCCACACCATAAAGGCCGAGGCACCGTCGCGACCCTTTGCGACCGCCTGCAGGCCTTCAGGAAGGGAGCGCTCGAGCCAGGTCTGAGTGGACGGGCGCTTGAGCTTGGCACCGATGAACATGCGCCACCAAGTGCTCTTTGAACTGACGGGCCTGAGCTTGGAAGCAGGCTGCGCTTGGTCTGTCATGGGCCTGACCTGGCTTAGGTCCACACCGTCGGAAAAGTGGCCAAGCATTCCCACCAGTGAAAGAACTGTATTACGCTCACCCACATAGCCTTGGGGAAGGCGCCAATTTCGTGGCCCGACCATCCGTCCACGCCACCAGAACGACGACCTTGCGCAAGAGCTGTTTTAAAAAGAAGAACGGGATCAAGAGGGGGCCACGCCTCCACGGCCGCGTGGCAGTCCAT